TTTGCGTATATTTTATAGTACTCACAACACGCGAACAAGTTTTCCAGATTGACACATGAAACGAAAGAAAAAGACAATATCATGAAGGAACCGATTGCAAAAATTTTCCAGATTGCAAATAGGGAACCGATTCCCCTGCTACAGGGAACTGATTCCCCTGCTACAATACTGCTACAGTACTTCCGTAAAACATACATAAAACCCGTAAAAATTTAACCGTTCATTACTATACATTTACATTTACATAAATACGTTCAAAACATTAGAAAATTCGATCAGAGCATTCGTACTAACAACTTATTACATTTCTTACATGCCAACATATTATACACAATCAAAATACATACTTTATCAATTACTTCTGATCTTATAGCAGTGTTGTTGTTTTTGCCACTTCTATTTCTGCTAATCTTGGTTCTTGGTACCTACGTGTAAATCACTTACACGCTAAGTCATAGACTTAGTGAGGCATAATAATAATAACAATGAAATATAATAATGATGCCATAATAAGATGAAATGTAATGAAAACATCAATACAATCCATGTAAGCTGCATAACTATGTACCTTACCAATAATCTTCTCAATTTAATCATCATGAATTCATATAATAAGTTCAATAGGTTCAATAGATTCAATAGCCCATGATACAATACTGAGAACCCGAGCTATGTGAGTACTGTGAGGTTGTGCACTATACTGTCACCACAGCTCTTATAAATTTGCACCAAAGTGCCACGTAGAATTTATCCTGAAGGATCTCGTAGAAATGCACCGAAGTGCCACGTAGAATTGCACCGTAGTGCCATAATATGCCCCTAAGGACCACATAGAAATTCCTTAAGAATCATATACATATACCAAGAATCAAGTAGGTGTCTCAAAAGACCTCATACATGTTCCAAAGAATACATATATGTCCCGAATGACCACGTAAAATTTGTCCCGAAGGACCGCGTAGACCCTCTACTCTTGGCATGCCAATTATACCTATAGTTCTCATCTACATAACATGGGCTTTTACATTTCACGTAGTTTATATCGCATAGACATGTAAATTCTTACCTTTATCACATAGATCACATAACTTTTTCTGCATATTATGTCACATAATGCATATAATATGAATTCATGTCATGTATCATAATACGGAATGTAATCATGTTTCAAGATATAAAATCTAGACTTATCACAAGTCTAGAATTGAATATATTTCTATAATCATGCTATGCATATGCACTCACCTAGATCTCTTTACTTTTCCCTCGATTAATCTTACTTGTCCCTTGTTCTGGAACTCATTTAGGCTCGATATCTACATAAACATAATTTCTGAAACAATTATCAAAACCTAAACCTTGCAATTAACCTCTAATAGCTTAAACAAATTTAAGGAATTAATATTTCATTTTTCCTTTAGGGGGAATCGGTTCCCTACTGTGGGGGTACCGGTTCCCCTATTATATTCTGGAAATTTTCACCTAAAAATTCATTAACTCATCACTGAATTTCCTCATACAAAACTCCTTTCATACCACTAAATTCAACTACAACCATTTTAACTAACTTCTATCATTCACACACCTTATTATCTTCAATACTTCATTCAAATTCTTAAAACTAAGAATCATACCAAATTTTCCAACATGTTTTAAATCTGATTCTTACACTCCATATTCCTTAATTAACCTCTTGACAAGTCAAAAATCTTATTCAAACTTCAAAAGCTCGTCCATATCAAAATTTCATCTAAAAACCCATTCTTCAAATTCATCTCTAAAACACTTATCTTGTTGTTTTAATGTCATATAAGCTTTCCTTTAGCTTATATAACATCCAAACTTTCATTACTAAACCAAAAATCAAAGAAACAACCAAGATTCAGATTCTTACCTTGAGCTTAGGTGCTTCACGTTTGGGAGAAGAAGATGAAGAAGATAACTCTCTGGAAACTTATCTCCTCAATTCATTCACATGGGTATTATAATACCCACAATTTATTATTTTATTCTTTTATTTTCTCAATGACCCTTTTACCCTCTTACTTCTCCTTCACTTATTAATTAATCTTATACCAACATCTTTCAATTAATTCATTCACTTTTCAATTTATTTAATTTGGTCATTGAATTTAAAAAAATCTTACACTTAAATCACTAACCAGGTATTGAGGATGTTACAGAATTTGTCCCGAATGACCACTATGAAATGTCCCGAAGGACCACGTAGAACCCTCGACTCTTGGCATGCCAACTATACCTCTAGCCCTCATGACATATAACATGGGCATTATTAGTTATCATTTCACATATTCACATATACATATCAATGTTCATATGATTTCATATTCATATGTCACTTATCTTATAACACTTCTCATGTGTTCATATAACATGTATATCATTTCACATATTAATATCGCATAACTCATGTATTCAAGTAACTCATAGTCCTATATCTTCTCACAAATTCTTATATTATCATATGTATCTTTATACTCATTCACATTTACCATAACATATATTCACATGTACCATAACATATATTCACATATATTGTATAACATATGCAATAACCAATAACACATATATCATGACAAACATATACTCATATTAATGTATATAAGTCATATCACACAATATTTATCTTAATCATTATTCTACTCATGCAATCATATATTTCAACATGTAGGTCACAAGTCTAATTTCCCATCGAGTCATATTTAATATCCGTATGCACTCACCTTGGCCTCACTGACTATTAATTATTCCTATGACTTCCTTCTTTTCGATCGAATTCTAACTCGATGATCGTTCCAAAGCTTGCTAGAGTTCCGTATCTACATAATTATACATGGATCCATATCAGTATTCTAATTGATATTCTAATTGCTCACTCCTTAGACTAGAAGAAAGGTTGATTACATCTTTAATTTAAGGTATGCATCGATACACTCTATAGTGCATCGGTACATTCCTTAACTTGTGAATCGATGCACTAACTATGCATCGATACACAAATCACATTCGATGTTTCCATTTTTAATGGGTGCATCGATACACTTCCTGTGCATCGATACACAAATTACATTCAATGTTTTCATTTAAGGGGTGCATCGATACACTAAATAATTTCTGGAAATTTTCCCTTGATATATCGATGCACATTGAATGTGTACCGATGCACATTAGCCCAGAATTATATTTTGAGCACGAAAATCACTTCCTTTTAGCTCAATTGTGCCATATTTCAACCCCTTTCATATCCTTAACTTACATACACCTACTTAAACTAATTAATACTCATTCAACACTTCCTAATCTTCAAAATATAATCCTCTCCATGAAATTCAAGAATCATACTAAATTTTCTATTTGTTCTAAATTTAATTCTATCACTTCATATCTCTTAATTTAACCCTTGATAAGTCAAATTTAGCCTCCAATTTAACTTATCAACTCTTCTTCCGAATTTCATTTAAAAACTCATTATCTTTAAACTCTCCAAAATCCTTCATCTTATGGTTTTAAGACAATTTAAGATTTCCTTAAACTTACTTATCACCTAAGGATCATAAACCAAGTTTGAACTCAACAAATAACCAACAAACATGGAAACTCACCTCTTTCCTTTGGGTTCCACGGTGAAGAGAAAAAGAAGAAGGAGAGAACTCTAGAAAGCTTCCCTTTTTCCCTTCATCTCCCACGTGTTATTCATTTTTAATTCATTTATAGGTCAAATGACCATTTTGCCCTTCTATTTCTCCTTCATTGATAATTAATCCTCTACAAAATTTACAATATGCCCCTGCACTTTTCAATTAATCTACTTTAACCAACAAATTCTGAAAATTTTCAATTTAGTCACTAACCCGATCTTGAGGATGTTACAGAAAGAGTCTCAGAACTTGATGTAATGACAACCATAAAGGACTGATACTCTCTTGGCAGCCCTTTGAGGATACTTACTACATGTTCAACCTGCGAAACCGGACTGCCACAGGATGTAAGGGCATCACAGACCTCTTTGATGCGAGTGAGGTACACACGCATTGAATCATCACCTTCCTTAGCGATTGTAGCTTATAGTACAGATTCATCATGGTAGTTGTTGATTTATTTGCAAAGAACTGGATAACTGTGCTCCAGACAGCTGATGCAGACTCAGACTCAACATCAACGAATTGAGGCAAAAGAGGAGCACTAATCGTTGACAAGAGCCACGAGGCAAGAGCACTGCCTTGTGCCAGGAAATCCTCATACGCCTCATTAGCAACAGATGCACCTTAGCATTAACAACAAATTTAGGTGGAATGGGCATGGTTCCTTTGAGAAGTCGTTCCAAACGATGGTTGTGCACCGTAAGAAGAACCTACTGTTTCCATAGCAGGTAATTCGATTCATCCAAGACCACATTAACCTTTTTGTTGGTAAACATGACGCTGAGAAAGAGGTGAGAAACTAAGCATCAACGAAAGAGAAGACCCCAGGACCCTTAGCGAAATATACCATGTTAAGAAATTGTAAAGATGAATTCAACAAACTACTACATTCTTTTTCATATATTACTTGATACAAGTTACATTGTTTATATAGCTTTGAGTTGCTGAGCAATGAAGCAACATTTCTAACAGAATTGACAAAGATAACTGCTCCTAACAACTTGAGCTATTCCTAACAGCCTGAGGTTGTGATCATCTGCAGCACATCACATTCCTTGCACATGAACCTAACTGCAACCTTTTTGAACCTTCTCCATGCATTCCATGCAACATGACCAGCTGCACAGTCATTCATCTAACACCCGATATGTATTTGGACATGGGTATATATAATCTTCTAAATATACCAAAACAAAGGTTAAATTTTAAGTTTATCGGTATTTAGATACCTATCCGTATCCAAAACTCATAACTTGCTTCTACTAGTGCCATTACTCTGAAGTAATCTTGATTAATTTACTTACAGTTTGAAGATTTGGATGAGCAAAACCTGGGTTAATGGTGTATGGATTTCACAGACCACCTCCTTTAGATGTTGTAATCTCCTGGTCTGAAACACATGACATCATTATACCTGCAAAATTCCACAAGGTATTAAATTCTTTTTTCCCTCCTTTCATACTTTCAACTGTAAGTCATGATTTTACATTAATGGTTTAGAGTTCTATTTATTTTATAATATTCTTTCCAGGAGTGGCTGTTCTTATACAAAGGGTCTCGAGTGAATATTTCATACACCATAAGATCCGCCGGTTCCTTGCCTTTATCACTTGCGGTTGCCCAAGGTTGAACTTTCTGCTTCACTCATTGGTGGTGATACAAGTACTTAAACAAACACGATGGCTTAAACATGATTAACATGACACGTTTAGTACACAAATTTTGAAATGTTTTAATTGGTGTAATTTCTTTAAAACATATTGAAGGTATTGAAAGCCTCGGTGAGTGGGTAGAAGATCCATCATATCCCAATACAAGTTTGTCATGGAATATAATATATGGTAAGGTTTTTAATATGAAAGAAAGTTCATGAATATTTCTCTGAAATGCATTAGATACAGTTGAAATAGAACTTAATTTGCAGGAAATGATGAGATCCAACAGGAAGTTCCCAAGGCTTCTAATTATTATGTTGCTGTAGGAAATTTTAATTCTAAGGAAGTTCAGGTAAGTGCTCAATTCCATCTCATTCTTACATCAATTAATCTATAATTAGATAAGTTCCCTCAGAACCATGCACTTGAAATTTTCATATCTTGCATTAAATGTTTATGATTCAGATACAGTTGAAGTTCTCAGTGAAGGCTCTCGTTTATGACACAAGTCGAGCGTATTACAGATGTTCTTTTGGAGATCATATGTGTGCTTTGGAGCTTTATTTTCTAGAAGACATTGTTGCTGTCTTGTCTTCACCTGCTCGGAATGAGGTAAAAAGAACACAATTGTCGGTTTTTATGTGTTAATCAGCAAGAAACTTTGGTCCTGGTGAAACCATGGCAGCTGCAGGTTGGCTGTTTCAGACACTCGACTTCGAACCTGTTTTCTTCAATGTATTCCAGCTTTTTCTTTTCTTTTCTTTTTGTGTTCTTTCAGGAAACGCTTAATAGCATCTGGTAAGTATCTTATGGACATCGATGGATTACATATGTTGTTGGATCAGGTTTCTCTATTTCCCTAGCGTAAAATATGTATAGTTTGGATTAACTTACGCATTAACCTGTATTTAATCCATTTTTACATTTAACACTTTTGCTATGCTGTAGGTGCGATGACCGTCCTAATATTATTAGCTTTGCAATTATGTAAAATGAACCAGAACAGAGACGAACCAAGATTTCATGCTGGAGAACTGGGAGCAGAACGAGCACGGTTGCTTCCGGAGAAAGACGATGACATCGGCAGTTGGGGTTCGTCTTACGATTCCATATCCAATGACGAGGACAAGGGAGATCTGGAAACATGGAAGCAAGCAGCCACTAGTCTTGAAGGAAAGCCTTTGAAGGAGGGGGAAAGGAGCGACAATGAACCTCATGGTGCTTGTGTCGTTTGCTCCGATTCACCCAGAGATTGTTTCTTTCTTCCATGTGGACATTGTGCTACCTGTTTTATGTGTGGAACAAGGTTCGGCGAGCTCATTAATTTATATAAAACAGTGGGGAGTTCAGGTTGTAATTAACTAGATTAATTTATGTATGCAGGATTGCAGAAGAAGCAGGCAGTTGCCCAATATGTCGGAGGAAGATGAAGAAAGTTCGGAAGGTGTTTACGGTTTAAGGCATGACTTGTACTTTAACAATTTAAGATGGCTACTTATTTTCTTCTTTATCAACGTTGACGTTTTCAACATGATTTATTTTCTACTCCCAGTAAAGAAGAAAAGAAAACAAAAAGTTGGTTGGAGAGTTTAAGATTTCAATTTAAAACACTTTCATGTAAACTATCACATACTTTAATTTGTCAAACACCAAGGATATAAAAATAAAGGCAGCAGATATTTCTGCACTTCCAAGCAAAGTAATGCAGTAGATTCAGACACGAATGTGCCCATGCTTTAAACTTTCGTTCATATTGCTATTGGATGTCCAGTAGGATCTTTGTCCTCTTTCTGCTTATTCCTTTAATAATGGCATGTATAAAAGGTGTCAAGTTCTTAGCAATTCATTTAGTCAATAATAAAATTGCTGAAATCTATAAAAAAAAAAATGAAAAGTTGATCAATTCGAGGTAAACTAGGATTAAGGACGAACTTTTTTTTTCTTGTTAGAAATTTAAAGCCCTAAATATGGTGACTTGCGCTAATAAAAAATGATATCAAATATAATTTTGATCTAATGCATCGGTTTATATTGCAAAAAATCTTAATTGATATAAAACTATAATATTAATTAAGTAATAAATAATATAAAATAAAAGATTTTGTGGCTTAATACAAAAATGAATGTTTAGACTTAACCTTAAAAAATATTTGGTGCCTACAGAAATTTTTGCTCAAAATAGGTGATTAACGTTTTCTCAATTACACTTTATGTGTCTACCGTTATATTTTTAAATTTTTTAATAATAAGAATATTATTTTTTTTTAAACTAAAAAAAGCTTAATTTATTTATAAAACAAACCCAAATTTTTGTAATTATAAAAAACTCTAAAAAAAAAACTAAAATATCTCATTTCAACCTCCATTACCAACTGTTGCCGGTCATCTTCAGCCACCATCGTCGCTGAACACTTGGGTTTTGATTGGTATTTCACGGAGATTCGAATGGTGGTGACAGTATAGCTTATGGACGTCGGATCGACTGAAATCGACAAAAAATGACGATAGCTTAAAATTCGACGAACCTTTGAACGTTTCTCCACGACAAATGATTGCAGTTTACTACGAAAGAGAAACGGAAATTTGATTGGGAGTGCTGATGAAGTTGACGGTAACGATCACGCCTAGCCGATCAACGACTATGAAAGGAGAAGGGAGAAAGGGGAGGGGCACAGGCTGTTTGGTGTTTTTTTTAAATAATAAAAATATTTTTATTTTTTATTGTTTTAAATAAATTATCAAAATTATCAGAATGTAACATATGTCACTTTATGGTCAAATTTAACGGTCATTATTGTCCAGACAGTTAAAAGTGTTCCGATGAAAACGTTAGGCACATATTTTTAATAAAAAATTTCTTTAGGCACTAAAAAATCTTTCGAGACATAGTTTAAGCCTTTAATTTAATATGAACACATAATTCATTTCAATATTGCTACGACTTTATCTAATTTCAATTAATATTACTTTTATAATAATATATTAAGTATCAATTTTTATATCAATTTAATAATATAAAAAATATTTTAATTGATTTAAAAATTTATTCAAACTCATATTTTTTATATAGAAATAAATATTATATTTCATATATTTGTAATTCCAATGTATTCAAACCTAAACTAAAGGAATCATAATAAATATGGTTCACATAATCAATCGAAACCTGTATAAATTGAAAAAATGCACAATGAGACCAAAAAAAAATTAAAATGTTATTTTTTATATCTCAATATTAACATTGAATTAACATCTCATCAATCAAAATTAAAAGTAATTAATTTAATCGAAGACTCAAAATATGATATATTTTTGAAGGACTCGATCAACACGATTTCCACCCGGCACTCCTTAAAGGTAAATCGGTTTAAAACTTTTAATTGATTTGGTTAATGGTTATTACTCGGTTCAATATTTTAACTAACCAAACAGAAGAAACAATCCTTGCATTTCCAATATGAAACTAAACCCACCTCAGCATTCTAATAATACAAATCCTAAATCCTTATAAATACCACAGACACACAAAAATTCGTCAAGTTAAAACCATTTCAATCAACATTAATTTGTTTCATTTTCTATCAAGGGGAAAGAAAACGCAGAGTTGATCCATGGGGACTTACAGTATGTGCGGGTGCTTTACTAGGAAGTTCAAACTCATTGAGGCGGCACCACCGCCGGATGTTAAAGCTGCATTCGACAAGTACGCTGAAGGCGGGAATCAAATGACGGCGGAGCAGTTGCGTAAGTTCTTGGTGGAAGTGCAGGGGCAAAGCCGTGCTACGGTTGCCGATGCGGAGGAGATTGCGCTGCAGGTTCTGCAGAAACGACATCATATGGCGAAATTTAGAAGACACGCCTTGACTCTCGATGATTTCTATCAGTACTTGTTTTCTGCAGATCTAAATCCGCCAATCGATACAAAGGTGACCTGTTTTTTTTCGATCATTTTTTTCACTGTTTCTACAATGCTCCGTTTTTTGTTTTGGTTATTCGAACTCTTAATCATTACATTAATGTGATCTTATTAGCTTGTTAAAGATTTGATTATTTGAAGCTGATGGAGGCATACCAAATTTAGTTTTTGATGTTTCTTGTTTGAAAAAGGTGTTCTCTTAGCGCAAAGTGAAGGTTTTTTTTTTTTTGAAATTTTGATCAAGTGGGAACATTTTACAATTTTAGACAAAACATCGAGGAATGTTCGTCATCTTTTGTCCTGCTTGATTATTGCTTGCAACTTTTCTGTGTATGTATGGCTGTGGATTATGAGACCATTTTTCTGACAATTACTATAAACTTTGAATTCAGGTCCACCAGGACATGACAGCTCCCTTGTCTCATTATTTCATATTCACTGGACACAATTCATACTTGACTGGAAATCAGCTCAGCAGTGACTGTAGCGATGTCCCTATCATAAAGGCACTGAAGAGAGGTGTAAGAGTGGTGGAGCTTGATCTATGGCCAAATTCCACAAGAGATGATGTGCATGTTCTACATGGAAGGTATATTACTTTTCATTTCTTCGTTTTTGGATTGTGATGGAGAACGGTATTTGATATAATATTTTTCAATGTGGGAATGGTTAGATACAACCAGATTAGCTTTCCTCTAGCTAGTGTAAGATGGTAATGGGACAATCTTAGAAGTCATTGATTTATGAGGCGAAAATGCATACTTTTCTAGCATTGATTTGCAGGCTCGGTTTGATAAATAATTGAATGTTAAACCTTAGGTAAACTGGTATTTATGTTTACTTGGGACATATTATCTCTTTTTATGAATTATTTGTTACCAGCTCCAGAATAGAAGCTAAATGGTGAAAACACATGTCTTATCCCTACAGGCTACAGTTAGCATTTAGCCAGCTTAATTTTAGAAGGCTATAGCTTTTAACCATGGTAATTTATGGTAGCTGATCTGATGTCTTTTTAGTAGCAGTGATCAATCTCTGTTTAGATACTTGCTTCGGAGACTTTAACAACGCTAAAATAAAACTGAAATTTTGAATAGAGAGCAAAAGAAAATCAATGTTCTTTGGAAACAATGACCCGGGATTAAATATATATTCCTTCTTTATCTGCAACCCTTCACATTTGATTTTACACTTCCATGTGGAGTACGTTCATTTTTCAGTTCGGTTTGTTTTGCTTCTACTTCTTGAAAAGTCATTGAATTGTACGTTTATGATTATAGGACTTTGACAACTCCGGTGGAACTCATTAGATGCTTACAATCCATTAAAGAACATGCTTTTAGTGCATCCGAATATCCCGTTATAATTACTCTTGAAGACCACCTGACTCCAAAGCTTCAGGCTAAAGTTGCTCAGGTAGTTAATAGCTAATAAAATTCTTTATTTTTCACCTTCCAGTTATGTTTGGAAATAGAATCACCTTTGGTTGATGGGAAAAATTAATTTCATTGTAGATGGTTACTCAAACGTTTGGAAAAATGCTGTTTTGCCCTGAATCTGAATGTTTAAAAGAATTCCCTTCACCAGAGGATCTGAAGTATCGGATCATTATTTCAACCAAACCTCCCAAAGAGTACCTTGAAGCTCAGACTAACAAGGACAAACAAAAGGAGAAGGATTCAGATGATGATGTTTGGGGAAAGGAACCATCAGAACTTACTGCCGACCAAGAGGATGACAAGGTATGCTCTGAAATGAATTGAATAATACATTGGTTTCATTTAAACCCAGTAATTATCTTTTATTTTGATTACGAGGAATCTTCTACAGGTGCACCTAGACAGCTCCATCATCATCTTTTAATACTTATGCAGCTTTTTATTGTTCTCACACTGTAGTTTCCTGTATGGTTGCAGACTGATAGTGAAGCAAGTGAGAACAATCAGGACGATGAAGATACAGATGCATCTGAACCCGAGATGAACTCTTCAAGAGCCCTTGGTTACAAGAGTCTTATTGCCATTCATGCTGGGAAACCCAAGGGTGGGTTGAAAAAGGCACTAAAAGTTGAACCTGATAAAGTTAGGCGCCTTAGTTTGAGTGAACAAGGACTTGAAAAAGCTACAATGTCTTACGGGACAGATGTTGTGAGGTAATTATTTGCATTAGTTTCAAACCAGAGACTTCCCTTGTTTGATGTGGTGAAAATGTAAAAATGTAATTGATTTTTTCTTTATTATTAACTTTTTTTATTAATTCATCAATATCAATATGTATTTAGATTTACCCAGAAAAATTTCCTGAGAATATATCCCAAGGGTACTCGGTTTAACTCCTCAAACTATAAGCCACAGATTGGTTGGACGCATGGTGCTCAAATGATCGCCTTTAACATGCAGGTTTTGTTTCTCTTCTTATCTCAGTTGCCCTATTATTTGTATATTAAAATGCTGTACTCTGACATTAATGCACTCTTGCCTCAAGTTACTGGATAAACTTCAAAACATAGTTTATAGATTTGTGTTCTAGTCCATGATCTTTATGCAGAAAGTAAGTAAAAGTGCCTAATCAGTTCATGTGTTTCGTATAAATTATAGTTATGCGTGTCTTTTGTTGAGACTAAACGAAAAGTAGAGGAAAGAACAGTTGAAATTCCTGAAGCTGTACTTCAACAATGAATTCACAAACTCGAACAAATTGAACTAGGTCACTACTAATACTAAGAGCCTTTCTTCAATGCTGTTTCAAAGTTTGTTGTTATGACCCAATTTTTTTTTTATAAATCCAACTAACGAGGTTGTGGTCTAATTGCAGGGATATGGTAGATCTCTTTGGCAGATGCATGGGATGTTTAGAGCTAATGGAGGCTGTGGTTATGTGAAAAAACCCGATTTTTTGATGAATGTCGATGCAAACGGCCGGGTTTTTGATCCACGAGCTAAGTTACCTGTCAAGAAAAGATTAAGGGTAAACATTCTTCAATATTAACAGATTTTTATCCTTCTCATCACCCTCTTATTGAATCATCAATCGTCTACCTGACAGGTGAGAGTCTACATGGGAGATGGATGGAACTTGGATTTTAAGAAAACACACTTCGACACCTATTCGCCACCTGATTTCTATACAAGGGTAAAACCCAGTAGCCGGAAACGCTAACGGTTTATATATTTGCACCAGTACCCTGCTTCCTGAAATTAATGATGGATTTTTAATTCAGGTTGGCATAGCAGGAGTGGCAGCTGATGAGAGAACGAAGAAAACAAAGACAAAAGAAGACAACTGGAAACCCGTTTGGGATGAAGAGTTTATATTCCCATTGACTGTTCCCGAATTGGCTTTGCTCCGAGTTGAGGTCCATGAATATGACATGTCGGAGAAGGATGATTTCGCCGGTCAAACTTGTTTACCAGTCTCTGAATTGAAGCAGGGGATTCGAACAGTTCCCCTCTTTGATCGCAAAGGAGAGAAGTTAAACCATTCTAGACTTCTAATGCGATTCGATTTTTATATGAGATTATGAAGACATGTTAATTTATTATTTGTTTAGTTTGGTTGACGGGCTACATGTTTTGATCCATGGGTTTGAAGCTATTTTATGTTCATATACTCCTGCCTGCCAAATAAAATAATAATAAAATAAACTATTCAATCTATTTCTAGCTATGTTAAGCTATTTTGTTTCGATTCTTCATTTTACCCGTTTATTTCACAGAAAACGTTTTTCGAAAAATGAAATTTGAAAAATGTTTTATAGAAATGTAAATCATTTTCCAGAAAATATTTTTCAGTGTTTAGATGGTACATTGTAAAATGTTTTACATTGTTTAATTATTTTTTTCTGAAAACAGTTTTCAAAATCTATTTTTAATAAAGAAGCATACATATTTGATATGTTTAATTCTTTATTATTTTTAAAGGTTCATTTTTTAAATATATAATTATATTTTATAAAAAAATTGTATTTTAAATAATATTAATAATTTATATTGATTGTGTTATAAATACACTAGTTTAGGTTTATTTTATGTAGGTTTATTTTATATAATATTAATAATTGATTAAAAATATATTATAAAAATTTATAAATCCTAAGAATGTTTAATTAATAGTACACCAAATTAAAACAACAATAGTACATAACATTGTAATAATAATAATAGTGTCAAAAATATATAATTGAAGGGTTTATCACATTAAAACAACAATAATATCCAACCGTAATAATACAAAGTCTAATTCATGGTATTTAAAATGAACTTATAGCTGTGATTGTGAATAATATAGGTATAATAGCGTCATTTTACAATGGAAATAATTTGCCAATTGGGAAAAGGAGAACTTGCAAATCTAACAAATAGTTTTCATTTTATTGGAAATAAAAATGAACCAAAACCCTGAACAACCTTCAGTTTTGGTATGGAATTGACTTTGATCTGAACAGGTACCCTTTCTCGAACTCACTTGGTATGGATACAAAGGACCTTCTCATAAAATCAACAAGTTTCTGTATGGAGGAAAACCATCGGTCAGTAAATACCATCAAACAAAAAGAATGAGAGAAACATTCACCAAATATGTCCCAACATGTTATAATCGATGGAAATCAACAGTTCCAATAAGTTCCAATAGATTAGTATCCTTTATGTTGGAAGCTTCTATGTTCCATTTCATGTAACAGCTGATGCATGTATACAATAAAATAAAATAAATATCATATATTTTTCTAGAATAGAAATAAAGGACAGAACTCAAAAGGTAGAAAAAGACTACCTTAGCATCTTCATAAGTTGACATGTAACCAATAGATACTCTAACCGCTCCAGTTGGTTTTCCATTTATTACATCATTGTCATCCCAGCTAACATGCCCAGCCTGAACTCAAAGCAAAGCTTATTTTATTTCTTTCCAGTAAATCAACAACATCCATATAACCCAACCACAAGGCATACCTCTACGTTAGAAAGAAGATCCGAGTTAGACAAGCCAAGATATTTTGCACAGGAACCAGGATTGCAAAAGCATCCTGTATACAACAAAACAGCGTTGGAAGGACAAAAGAATAACTGTCACTAAGCTGGTAACACAACTGCAGTCATTATTGTTTTAATCTTCCTCTAGATCAATAAAACCAGTTTTCCTAGAACATTATATAAGCAAGCTTCAAATAATTGATACAGTAGCAGAAAGCTAGAAAGTTGCCTCGTGATGTTTCAAAGCATTTTCTGGTTCTAAACAACATACAAAGGTGTTTGCACACTTTCTATTGCGAAAACTACTTTGTATGGTCTAGAATATTTAAGACCACATAAACGAAGGCACTTAGCAAGCAATCACTAAACTAGAACACAAATCACTATTTGTTTATATAGTTATGCTTGTTCTAATCTTCAAGATTTTCTCACGGTTTACCCGTAACTGAATTCCAGATAAGGATGCCAATTTTTCCAACTCCCGATATCCAAACCAAGAACCATCAGCTCTTTTCAGTTTAAATAAGACAATAGAGCCAGAGTCATGCATAGAAACCTATGAGAAGAGTTGCAAAACATTTAAAAAAGGTTAATAATTAAAAAAGTGCAAAGAATGGAAAGCATGATCAAAGCAACTTATAGTGTCAAGCTTCAAACATCTAAACAGATTAGACTAAAGAAATCATCAGCAAAAAAGAACTGTTATGGAATCCCACACAAAGTAAAATGCATTATTCAACTTGTAATGTTGAAATGCCTTACAGAATATGTATTTAAAAAAAAAAGAACAAATGAAAATTCCAATCTTTTTTCCGTTTTACCATTTCAAGACATCTGAAGCAGTCATAATTCATAACATGTTAGAATTCATTCTTATTTGGGGACATATAGCCTATCTATTGCTTTAAGTTATGTAACTAACCTTCAGAGCACAATTGCCATGAAGAGTGCAGACACTGCTCCATTTTCATGTCGCAAAGCTAAGAGCTTCTTCAAAAACATGGTAAGTGACATAGTATGCCTAGAACTGAACGGTGTAAGGGGAGGGGAAGCAGCAATATGTTAATAGGAGGCATTCCTACAAGTTACTTTAGCATGCTATGCAAAAACAAAACAATAATGTAACATAATGTCAACATAGAGGAAAACATGTGGCAAAGACAAATTTCTATATAACCCTATCTGACGGAAACATTATTCACAATTTGACTGATAACTTGATACTGATCAGAAAGCCAGAAGCACATTGTGTCATTGTCAATAGAAACTGAAAGCAAAGCAGAATTAAAATCCTGTATATCCTACAGGAAACAGTAATGCAAAATAAATATGGAAAAGCATAATCCATAAATATTTAGTCATAGGAGAAAACATGCGAACTCTATATTTGAAAATAATCTTAAGTTATTTGCAAGATGACAATTGAAAAAGTAATTAAAATTGAGTGTCATTGGTCAAAACAAAAACAAAGGGCATGAAATAGATTAGCATGCACGGAAACAGAAAACCCAATATAAATGAACAAACAGAATAATTAAGTCATGAAATAATTGAGGAAAAACATTCTATCATATGAACAATCACAATGATATAAGATATATAATAGAAAATAAACTTAAATTTGATAATACTAATAAAATCTTTGAACTTTTCAGTGTTATAGAAATAAAAATTTGCAAATCGGCACATTGCAGATGTAGTGAGGGTATTCAATATCTTAAACCCATGACAAATTGATGCTATGCTAAGGAGTGAAATGGTGCCATCCTCGAAATGCTCCTCAACTCCTTTTCGTCTTCTGACAAAGTCAATGTCAGCAATTGAAGCAGCAACGGTACCTGAAACACTTGTAGTTAACTAACAAAACAACTACTATATATGTAACCACCAATAAGACTTCTCTGAAATATGTCTTCTTCAATAACTTAGTTGCATCTGAAAGCAAAAGAAAAAAGAATATTAGAAAACTGTATTAAAAAAGATTTCATTTTCTTAAACTTTGGTTTACTTATCAGGATTTGTCTAAAGGCTATGTAAAGACAGGGAAATATAAATCAACCCATTGAGCAATGGAAAGAGAAAATCCAATTTATATATTTCTTTCACAATTCATGAAACGTTTCTATTTCCAGAAATTTCTAGCAATATCCAATTTGAAAATAAAACTACTATTTTCAGGGGCGATACATTGTCAGAAACAGTAAAATCAGCTCTGATTGGATGGCCAACAAATTCATAGTAATCTCAACTAGTCTAAATCTTTTGTGGCATAATGACTCATGCTATAGAAAAACAGAGAAAACAAAAGGTCCATGATTACAATCAAAGAAATAAAAGAATAAATCAATGATGCTTAATGGAAAAAAAGGATCCTTTAGGGAACATAGCAAAAATATCTGACAGCATCTATTTAACTATTGTGTACAAAAAGCCCCTTACACCACCAGCTAGGGGTGTATTTGGTTCGGTTCGGTTCGGTTCGGTTTTTTACCAAAAATTGAACCGAACCGAAATAAATGGTTTTTCAAAATTTAAACCGAAACCGAAAAAACCGAAACCGATTTTTTCGGTTCAGTTCAGTAATTCGGGTTTTCAAAAACCGAAAACAGTATTCCACATAATTGAAAAAATCATTGCCTGCTTTGATTTTCAAAGAAAAAACTATAAATTCAAAAAAAATTACCATACAGATACTGAAAACACATATATAATCCACATATATAAACCACATATATAATCCATACAAAAATTGCTATGGATGATCCACATTCCACATATATAATCCATACAAAAACTATAATCCACATATTGTTCACAGTTTGGTTCACACTACAAATTAAACAACCAAATCAAAGTGTAATTCAATTATCAAAGTTAAATAAAAAGTTACTTGAAACTATAATCATCCATGCAGATGCTGAAAACTTTTCAACCTTTAAGTTTAGCTTTTCAGTCAGCTCTCCATCACCCAGACCAGAATCTAAACCAACACATTAACAAATCAATAACAGTCCATATTTTATGTTAAAAGCAACATTATTTCACATTTTGATTAACCTTTTCCTCCTAATTAACAAATTACATATGAATTGAAATATATTTAAATTTAAAACTAATGTTTAATATATTATCAAAACAATATTTCAATATCACAAACAGAAACAGTATTTAAATATTATCATGTCATAAGCTGCAGTAACATTAAATCATAGAAATTTCAATCGGTTTGGTTTCAAATATTATCATGTCATAAGCTTTATAACATTAAATCATGGAAATTACCTTTGTAAGTGTCCATCTTCGATCAATCATCAATGGTCATCATTGTTTCATTTAACCTTAAATCTTCGAAACCTATTAAAAGTCAAAAAATATTTAGAAGTAAGAATATTTACAGAAATGAGTTAGAAAATATATTTACAAATGTTTACATAATTATTACTTACCACTCTCAATGTTCTCCATTTCTTCAATTTGTTCCTCTGTTTGGATTGCTATAGGTGATGCTCTTAGCCAATTTTGCGCACAAATGAGACACTCAACAATTTTTGGAGTTAAAGAACTCCGAAATGAGTCAAGAACACAACCTCCAGTGCTGAAAGCAGATTCTGATGCCACTGTAGTTACAAGAATTGCCAAAATATCTCGAGCCATTATAGAAATTATGGGATATCAAAAATGGGGAAAAACTTGTCCTGAGGCCAAGAAATCATCGAAAATCTTTTTCATTACCCTTGCACAGATAGCTTACTTGTAGCTCAACTTTTGGTCACACCAACAACCTATATGTAAAATCGACGGAAAAAATAAAAATGAGTGAGAAAGGTAGAGAGAGAAAGAGAGCGAGTGCTTTCGGTCGTTCATCCACCGGTGAGGAATGGACTGTTTTTGTTGACAATCTTAGTAAGAGAGTTAATAGAAGTGAGTTAAGAGAGATTTTCAACCATTATGGAACAATATTGAGGGTCTTTATTCCAAATTTTATGGTTAAACCAAATTATAAGTCATCCACGTTTGCTTTTGTGCAATTTGCGAAGGAGGAAGGTTGCAGAAGAGCAGTTCAGAATGTCAACGGAACGCTCATTGACGGGATGAGAGTCTCAGTGGGAGTTGCAAAGTACATGAGGGGTAGGAGAAGAGAAGCAAAGGTTCAAAGAAATCAGTTGGAAGGAATTAAGCTAGATAGAGAGGCTTTTGGTAGACAACAGGCTGAGCTGGAGAAGCCGAGAAGCTTGAGAGATGACAGATCGTATAAGGAGGTCGTGAATGTGGCTAACAGTAGGAGTTTGAATCCATAACGATTGGTGATTAGGGGAGGTCAGAAGAATGCAAATGGAATAAGAAATGTATGGGATATGCACATCCCATCAGATGATTTTTGCTGGGTGAAAAACTCCTTAACAGGGGTTATCAAAGATCCATTTCAGCCTGATATGGTGAAGAGAGCTTTGGCAAAGGAGGGGTTTCCAGGTTAAGATAGTAAGGTGGGGTTATGTCAGGAACGGCAGTATTATTACGTTCAATACAAATGAAGAGTTTTTAAAGGCATGGTTGAGTCTTCGTGAGAAACTCTATTGCTGGTTTGATTAGGTAGATCCATTGTTGAGTGAAGATGGAGTTCCTTTGGCTTATTGCTTGGTCGAACTGGTTGGTTTACCGCTTCTTAGTTGGAGTGTACCTTTTCTGGATAAGCTTGGCAGTAAGTGGGGAAAGGTTGTTAGCATCCTGGAGGAAACTAGAAATAGAGATGACTTCTCTTCGGCCAAAATGTTGTTGAGGGTTGCAAGCCCTTTTGACGTACAAGAATCTGTTATTGTAGGATCTTATGGCAGATCCTTTAAAGTTAAAATTAATGTGGGTTCCAGCTCTAAACCTATCTCTGAAGCTTATGGAGACGTAAGGCAGAATTTTTCATATGGCAGTTGCAATGGTGATGTTTCAAAGGGGGATGATGGTAGAAACACAGAGAAGGAAGAAGACAATAGAGAGAACTCAGCAGAAGGTTTTCAGTCAAAGGTTGACACGTGGCTTCAGAATAGTCAAGAAAGGAGGATGTCAAAAGGTGGGGAACTTTATCTGAAAAAGAAGACTGACACTCTGCCCAATAATAATGGGGTGTCAGACAAATTTGAATTTGAATTAAATCCTTGTGGGGATTATGCAGGCCTTGGGCTGCGAGAGGTTGTGGATCAGAGTCTTCCAACCCATTCGGATTCTAATTGGGAGTCTTATTCTCCTGTTACTAAAATTATCCCAGCAGGCCCTGCTGTAAAGTTGAAATGGAACAGGCCAGGAAATCAAAAAAAGGTTCAGACTCAGTCCGAATTACAAGGGCAACATACAGTTTCAGTAAGGGATGAAGTTCCAGTTAAAAATAGAGCTGTTTTAAAGAAGGTGAAAATGGCTAAGGATGTTAATCAAGTGGGCCTTAATGCGTGTAGCACTTCATTTTCTTGTGAGAGGGGAAGAAATTCAGTAATTCACAATGGGTGTGCAGAAATTAAGAAGAGTCAGAATCGTTGGAAACTGGGTTTTCCAGTTTCAGCTGGTTTATCAATTAAAAATATTGGTGGGAAGAGGAGCAGCAGTCGCTTTTCAAGAGTCTACAGAAGATCAAGAGGTAGAAGAATTTGGCTAAGCTCGAGGAAGGAGGATTCTAAAAGTGGCTGTCAGGTTTTTATGAATAAAGATCAAAATGCTCCTGAAGGTTTTATTCAACCGGTTTCTTCCGAAAACAGGGGATCTGAACAGGATGTTGATATCTCTTGTTCTGTTGTTAAGCAGAATACAACGTTGGTTCCATTATTTTGTAATAATCATTTTGAGGATCGATCATCAACCCAACTTTCTGCTTCACAGATTTGCAGGAATTTCAGGAGGGAAAAAAGAATTTTAACAAGGGAAGCTGTGAACCTGGTTAATATGTTAACTGTCTTTTCCCCTCGGTTTTCGAAATTGGTGGAGGAAGCCATGGCAACTTGGGAAGTCTGTCAGTTGCTAGGTATTTCCTTCAAGGAAGGGAAGAAGACGTTCATTGAAAAAATTATTAGTCTTTATAATGGCTTGGAGACTGTTAGGAATGATTGACTTCTCAGGGCTGGTTGATTTCTCGGGGTAGATCAAGGGAGGTTTTTTCTTTTTATATGATGATGTTAAAGTTATCTATTGTGACTTGGAATGTTAGAGGGTTGGGTAGAAAAGAGAAGCAAAGGGTTGTGCAGAGATTACTGTATCATCACTGCCCTCATTTTTTGTGGTTACAGGAAACTAAATTGGAGAAAATTCAAAAATCTATTTCTAGAAGGTGTGGTTTAAACAACTTGCAAGGGTGTATTGAGTCTCCTTCGGTTGGTGCTTCAGGGGATTTACTAAGTTGCTGGAATGACAATATTTTTGTGTTGGATAATCAATTTGTTTCCAGTAGATTTATAGCTATTTCTGGGAGGTTTCGTGCAAATAATTTCAGATGTAGGTTCATCAATGTATATTGGCCGTCTGTTGAGGAGGAGAAAGGAGGCTTCTTTGAAGAATTAGGCATGTTCATTGGAGGTTACAGTGATCCTATTTGTGTTGGAGGGGACCTAAATGTTTATCTTCATGAGGACGAGAAGATGGGTAGGGCCCAAAATAGGAATTCAGTAGAGATTTTCAGTCATTTTCTGCTGAACACAGTTTTAATTGATCTGCCATTGAGTGAGGGTCGATATACTTGGTGTAATAACCAAGATTCACCAACCTATGTTAGACTGGACAGATTTTTGGTGATAGCCAGTTCTTAGTCGAATTTCCAGATTTAACTCAATCTCTTTTGCCAAGGTCTGTGTCTGACCATAATGCAGTAATTATTGAAAATGGTGGGGATAATTGGGGAAAGAAACCTTTTAAACTTTTTAATTATCTGATGGATGAAGTCGGATTCGAGGATGTGGTCAGCT